TTCTTGAGATGATTTTGACTATATGTCAAATTTTCAAAGCTCATCCATTAGCTAATAATTTACGATTTCAGATCTGGCGGCATAGACTGTACGAGCGGATGGAAATAAACGAATCCAGCATGCGGCAGAGCTGTGGTAGACGAAAATCCAGCCAGTGATCGCTTTTGACGGCCAAGCACTTGGATGTTGCACGCGGGCATTCTTGAAAGAGGGGCCAATCCACCGGCTTGTGATACCTTTAAAAATTTGGTCAAAAGCAATGATACCAATGAGAATATCAATCGTCTACCAGCAGCGCAGTGGTAGCTGCTCCTAACAAGTGAACGAGGTTTGGAGCAATTAAGGACATTCGCACTTCGATGAGCCGGTACATCGAAATCCTGTCCTGAAATAGATGGACTACAGAGATGTAAGAGAGCACATTTAATGAAGGTCACCGTATGCAGTTTCTCAGCGAGATCGCACGCCTCCCGCACAGCATTCAGTTCTTCTGGTTCTAACGATTTACCTTGCGTGGTAGAAGCTGTTACGGATACGACTATGCATGTTGCAGGGGCAAGAATCTGACTCAGTAGTTCCTAAAATATGCAACGTAGAATACAAAATTTATATAGGACATTGCTATCGAAAACATGATTCAGAAAATGGTGGCACAAAGAGGAGGTGCCGGTTGCTGGACATAGAGAGCAGGCGCGTACTTCCTCCCTCTACTCCCCGAAAAAGGGTACGAAGCTTTGTAAAAGGATTACGAATTCATTTAGAGCAAGAATACCATTTTTTACATAATTTTTAATGAAGGAAAAGGCGCCGCACCTCATCTTTTATCAACAATTTTCTCCCGCACCGCCTACAGAAAATCTTCCTCTATGAGCACTCATACAAATCTCCTTTACATGCCTTCATAACGTAAGCCACTACACTGTTTATAAATTTTTCTAAAAACAGATTTACTTACAGATTCTAATATTTCAGCAAACCGAGCGCGGATAAACATCAGCAAAAAAACTTCAAAAGTCAGTGGTTAAATGTCAGCGACGTTCTGATATCCGTAAATTTAACAGAAAAATTTTTTTGAAATCGCATGTACTCCCCAGCAAGATGAACTATTTTAACAATTTACACTAACTTGTTTTCGTCAACTATTGGAGGAAATGGTAAGATACTTGCTTTGTTCTGTCCT